CACACACACCAAAAAACACACAAAAAACCCAATCCTGAATATGCACTTGTGTCTCTCAGATGTGCTTAATTACTGTGAATTACTGTGAGGAACTGTATCGGCTTCGCTCCCATAACGGTCTACAGAGAGGCTTAAAATATATCACTTAGCACTGGAGATGCAATGGGTATCTGCCATTGTTTTCAAGGCCTGCTAAAGAACTCAACCATGAGCTAATTGAAGAACTCCTAAGCAGGGCTAATTGCCTTTTTAAAGAAGAATGCCCCAAACTGCTTTAAAGTGCAGTTTGAAATAATTGCATTCTGTTTGGCATTGTATTTCTAGCCTTTCTTTGCCTTAGTCTTCTGCATCAAATGCATCTCCATGGCACCAGGAAATCCTGGAGGAAGAGGGAATTTGGATACATAGCAGGAGCAAACTAGTTTTGTTACCAGAGGCCCACCTGAGCAACTTGTGATCCACCAAGGTAAACACAGTCCACCCACCATGTGAGGCTGACTGCTCACCAGGAGCTCAGTAGAATTTGCTGTCTGTTTAGCAGCTTTAAGATGACAGTGTGTGTATAGGTGTGAGTTTATATAGTCTGTATTTGGTTGCTTTGTTTTTGCTCTATTTGATACTGTGGCTGCCCAGGGTTGATTGAAGAAGTCATTCTTTCTAAATTCTGATATAACCTGCACTTTCTGGACTAAAGTACAGATAAGAATGTAATTATCCTTCATATTTCATTTTTCCTGAATTTTGCCATGCAGTTTGTTGCTCAGAACAATGTATCAATGTGTTTTAAAGGCAATTTTTGTAAGGTTGCAAATTTAAGCCACACTTTAACTTTTCATGGTCAGAGGCTTATATTCAGGCCAATACGGTATCTATATCTATCTATCTATCTATCTATCTATCTATCTATCTATCTATCATCTTAGATGACACATAGGGAACAACCAGTCTGCAGGCCTAATCAGATCCAAATTTGGACTCAGTTTGGTTTCAGGCTGTTTTTCTCAAATGATATATGTGGCATATGTATATATATATATATATAACATCAGGGAAGAGGCAGGTGGAGTTGCAGTAACCAGCACTCAGTCAGCAGCATTAAACTGTCCTCCATATTGTGTGCTGGCAAGGGAGGCTTACTATCTGATTGGCAGTGAGGGCAAATCAACTGAGATTGGCTATGGTACTGAGTTCCCGGCCCACCTGACACAGCTGTCACCTCAGGCGACCCATTTTTCCTTGGTAGCACAGGAAGCCTGAAGTCAATGCCAATCAGCTGACTGGTGGTAATTTCATGATTCTTGCAGCACAAAGGAAATGATGGGTCACTTGATGTCATAGTGATATCAAGTGGTTTGGCAGATGTCTGTGAAAATGGTAGGGGAGTGTGGGGAAGCCAAGCATCCAGCCTACCAGCTGGATTCAGTCCCCCACTCCTGCACATTTCCAGAGAAAATACTTTTAGAAATGTGTCGAGAGAAAATGAGTTCAAAAACATGCATTTGAATGCAAATTTGCATGCAGTTTTTTCGTTGTTGTTTTTTTGATGCAGGTTAATGTGGAAATGGGACAGAACAGACTTTTGAATGAGCACCTTTAAAAGAGACATGGAATATTTCCATCCATCCAGTTGCTTCTAATGGAGAACCCCACCCCAACCTGACTGGGAATGCTATGGAATTCGATGGAAAGACCCATATTCTGAGATCCCAAAACATCATTGGAGAGCCAGTGTGGTGTAGTGGTTAAGAGCAGTGGACTCGTAATCTGGGGAACCGGGTTCGCGTCTCTGCTCCTCCACATGCAGCTGCTGGGTGACCTTGGGCCAGTCACACTTCTTTGAAGTCTCTCAGCCCCACTCACCTCACAGAGTGTTTGTTGTGGGGCAGGAAGGGAAAGGAGAATGTTAGCCGCTTTGAGACTCCTTTGGGTAGTGATAAAGTGGGATATCAAATCCAAACTCCTCCTCCTCCTCCTCCTCCTCCTTCTTCTTCTTCTTCTTCTTCTTCTTCTTCTTCTTCTTCTTCTTCTTCTATATCCTCAGGTGTCACCTCACCAGCACGTCTTTTGAGGCAAGAATGGGAAACCTGGATTCCAACTCCCATCATCCATTACCAGTGGCCATGGTGGGTGGGGCAAATGGTAGCTGGAGTCCAAGAACATACAGAAGACCATAGGTTACCCATCCCCATCTTAATGCAATATCATATGCCATCAGTGCTCTTCTGGCATTTACATAGGCCCAAGAAGGCTGTCCCTTGAATTTAGGGTTGGCAAGTTGTATGACATGGACTGCCATACGTCCAGATTTTCCTGGACATTTTTAGCAATTTCCTCCCGGACACTGTTTATGAGGGCCGAACCAGCTATGTCTGGGAAATTCTGGACATATGGAAACCCTACTTGAATCCCTTTTGGCAAGTGGTGGTGCATTGGCTGCCCTCCAATTCTCTACTAAGGAGGCCGGTTTTAATTATAACATCATGTTTATCCAAAAGTAAACATTTTAATATTTGAGTGTTTAAGAAAGCTAAGCTAATGCAGTTTGGACCCAGTGACGTCTTAATCTGAAGTTTGTCATTAGCTGTATAACTTCAGCCCTTGTTGCCTACTTTGGACATAATGCATAGCTGGTCAATTCACTAGGAATAGAACTGAAAAGGCCCTATAACTGTATAACAACATTATATTGGTGAGAGCACTGATTAGTCACTGATCTATAGGATTCTCAAAAGAGGAGAGGCAATGGCATTTTCCAAATACTAATATGTGGTGGACACAAGATAGAAAATACATATCAAGTATTCTCTGCCATTTCTCACTAGAAGCCCATTAGTGGGAGGGCATCACAGTGATGGGATACATATCATGGCCATGGGCCTAAGGGCTGGGAGACATCCTCCTGTTTCCTCATCATGAAGCCAAGACAAAAATGGTTTTATTACACTTAGCATGGGATGCTATTAAAAAGTATATCTCTAGGGCAGTGCTAGATAGCACATTCATAAGAAGTTGTACCTATAACATTTCATTGATGCCCAATTAATTATAATAAATGAGCCGTTAGGATTTCCTGTCCCATGGTTTTTGTGCGAGCGATAATTCCATTTTCTTATTATTAAACTTTGGTGTTATGTGCTGAACTACAATCAAGTGTGTTAGCCTTTGTGTGTACGTGCTTCATATTTTGTTCCCTGACATTGAACTATGGAAGATCATTAGCTTTATTCTATAACTAGGGGCTGTGCCCCTGCACACACCACTCACCAAACCCCTTCCTCCATTTTAATCCTCTACAGCTTCCTCTTCCCACCCCATGAAACTTCTAACTGGGGTAAATATGGGAAAGAGTCTTGACTAGGTATAGATATATATTCCTTTCCATGCTGTTTTTCATATCCTCATTGCTCTTATGCTCCTGGGCTGTGTTCAGAAAGTGGTGGGGGGGGATGAGTGTTCAGACCCCTGGGCTCTCACTTGTGGGGTGACTCAGGGTTCTGTCCTCTCCCCTTTGGTTTTCAACATCTACATGCAGCTGCTGGGAGAGATCATCAGGGGGTTTGGGCTGGGTGTTCGTCAGTATGCAGATGAAACCCAGCTCTACCTCTCTTTCAAATCAGAACCAGTGAAGGCGGTGAAGGTCCTGTGTGAGTGTCTGGAGGTGGTTGCAGGATGGATGGTGGCTAGCAGATTGAGGTTGAATCCTGACAAGACAGAAGTATTATTTTGGGGGGACAGGAGGCAGGCAGGGGACACGGGTGGCGCTGTGGGTTAAACCACAGAGCCTAGGACTTGCTGATCAGAAGGTCGGCTGTTCGAATCCTCGCGACGGGGTGAGCTCCCGTTGCTCAGTCCCTGCTCCTGCCAACCTAGCAGTTCGAAAGCACGTCAAAGTGCAAGTAGATAAATAGGTACCGCTCTGGTGGGAAGGTAAACGGCGTTTCCGTGTGCTGCTCTGGTTCGCCAGAAGCAGCTTAGTCATGCTGGCCACATGACCCAGAAGCTGTACACCGGCTCCCTTGGCCAATAAAGTGAGATGAGTGCTGCAACCCCAGTCGGTCACAACTGGACCTAATGGTCAGGGGTCCCTTTACCTTTAGGCAGGCAGGTGTGCAGTACTCCCTGGTCCTGAATGGGGTAACTCTGCCCCTGAAAAACCAGGGGCACAGCGTGGGAGTCATTTTGGACTCACAGCTGTCCATGGAGGAGCAGGTCAATTCTGTGTCCAGGGCAGCTGTTTACCAGCTCCATCTGGTACGCAGGATGAGACCCTACCTGCCCGCAGACTGTCTCGCCAGAGTGGTGCATGTTCTGGTTATCTCCCGCTTGGACTACTGCAATGCAATCTATGTGGGGCTACCTTTGAAGGTGACCCAGAAACTACAATTAATCCAAAATGCAGCAGCTAGATTGGTGACTGGGAATAGATGCCAAGACCACATAACACCCGTCCTGAAAGACCTACATTGGCTCCAAGTACGTTTCCGAGCAAAATTCAAAGTATTGGTGCTGAACTTTATAGCCCTAAACAGCCTTGGTCCAGTATACCCGAAGGAGCGTCTCCAGCCCAATCGTTCAGTTCACTGAGGTCCAGCTCTAAGGGCCTTCTGGCAATTCCCTCACTGCGAGAAGCCAAGTTACAGGGAACCTGGCAGAGGGCCTTCTCGGTAGTGGAACACCCTGTGGAACGTCCTCCCACCAGATGTCAAAGAGATAACTACCAGACTTTTAGAAGGCATCTGAAGGCAGCCCTGTTTAGGGAAGCTTTTAATCTTTGGACTACTGTATTTTAATATTTTGTTGGAAGCCACCCAGAGTGGCTGGGGAAACCCAGCCAGATGGGTGGGGTATAAATAAATTATTATTATTATTATTATTATTATTAGTTGAACCTGATTTAACGCCCACCCCCACCCAAACCTGAAATATCTGTAACTGTTCAATTGCAGCTTTTAAAAAACCATATCGCCACAGTCCTTTCTGTGCTTTATTTGCTCCCATTGTCAAGATACAGCAGCAGGTTTTCCAAAAGGCTGATTGTGCTTTGAGTGCACCATGAATGATGGCGTTGTTACGATTTGTTGTGTGGCACGCTGATGCATTACTGTGTGCTGTAACATGAATTTGATTGTCTTAACACGGCGCACCTGCCAGTATTTATGGTAGGATCCAGCATCAGTTATGGTGGCTATAGAAGCAGAAATTGCAGCAGGACTGATGGTGATGGGAGAGGTCCGGTTTTTGTTAGGCCTGGGTAATGCATTGCAGTTTACAAGGAAGAGAAGGACTGGAATGAAGGCAGCCATTATGGGAATGCGGACATTCTGCAAAACACTTAAGTTGGGAATTGATTAACAAAATATACTGTGCAGGTATGTATGTATGTATATATGTATGTATGTTTGTTTGTTTATTTATTTATTTATTTATTTATTTATTTTAAAAAATCCAGATATAAGCAGTTTAAGAAGACTTTGACTGACAATTCTGAAAATCTTTGGTCCTTCAGAATAGCTGATTTTCTTCAGAACTTAAAAACCCAGCATAATTTGGGGTGACTCAGGATGAAATTCAAACCTTTCCCCCTCCCACTGATTAGGCTTTCCGGACCTATTACACCCAAAATTGAGCAAAGTCATTCCAGAGTTATGTTTCAGTCCTCCATCTTAATTCAAAACAATAGCTCATCATGATCAACAGCACCTTGAACAACCACTCCTCAAGTTTGAAACCCATGCTGTTTAGAGGCTATACGCCAAAAATTGGGTGAAGTAATGCCAGACTCACATTTTGATCTGCAATCTGGATTCAAAATGGCACCTACTCTCCTAAACATGTACAAACTCTACTGTCCTTGTCATGGGAATGTTCATGTTGAGTTTGATGTCGGTATCTCAGGAGGCATCAGAACCTGTAGAAGACAAATGGACAGACAGAATAGCCTCTTTCCAAAGTATATAGTAGCTTTATACTTTTGGGTCTCCTCATTTTACCCTTACCACAACCCTGTGAAACAAGTTAGGCAGAAAGGTCGTGAATGGAGAAATTTAAAAACTATTTACAGAAATATTGCAAAATTAATGAATGTTAGAATGATGTTGGATTGAAGTTAAGTGCTTTTTAGCAGCAATGTTATAAAGGAATATGTAAGAATGGATTGTTAATAGGTGATAATTTAAAGTTATAATATATTAAGATAAAAGATTAAGATAAAACCAAAGAGGGAAAGGAATTGCTGAACTAACTAATTGAACTGGAATACAAAAAAGGGAGGTGTGAGGAGGTTAGGGAAACAAGCAAATGAAAGATAAGATATGGAAAGACTGATTTGTTTTTAACTGTTTTCACTTTGTATTTTCATTTTTGTTCTTTTTCTTTTCTTTTACTTTTTTCTCTTATTTTTGTAATATGCTGAAACTTTAATAAATACCTTATAAAAAAAAGAAAGAAAGGTCGTGAATGGGCAGGGGTTCCCAGTGAAATTTACGATTAAGTAAAAGCTTGAATTCAGATCTCCCCAATCAAAGTACAACCAGCACACTATGGCTACTGTGAACACTGCTGGTGCAAGGTAGTTTTAAGAAGATGTTATAGATCTACAGTGATATTTGTAGACAACTTATCAATCCATTTATGTCGTCCTTGCAGTTCCCATTTCAACAAGGGTTCATTAAAAAATAATAAATACTGAGCCCGGAAAGCTGTCTCTGCAGCATTTTATTAAATAAAAAGTGAGAGGGGGGAAACGTCTTGGCAAACGTGATTGCTGCTGCCAGCTCTTGTTAGTATTTCTGTTATTTGTTGCTAATGGCAAGGTTGTATACATATGAAATTGGTTTGCCTTCAACTCTACTCTCAAATGGAATCAGTACACAAATGTGTGTCAGCTTCTCCTGTAGCTGTATGAAATATAGTCAAAAAGTGGTGTGTGTTTTTTAAATAATCAAATGTAAACTCACATTTACAAAGTCTCCAAAAAAGTTATTCTAAGCTTTAAAACCTTTCATCTTTCCTAAAACATATTTGATGTCATGCTTCTCTATAGAGTTTTACCTGTTTGCTTAGCCAGAATTGTAGTAATGCTATGTCTTGTGGGTTATGCTATGTAAAAGTGTTAAAAGTATTTAGCCTTCTCCACAGCAATACTGTAAGGTAGGGGTTGTCAACGTTTTTGAGTCAGTCAGACATTTGGAATTTTGAAAATGTTCTCTGGCTGCAAGCCACAAAATGGTTGCTCTGGCGGTGTGGCGTAACACAGAATGGGTGGCACAAAACAAAATGGCTGCCACATCTCAAAGTGCAGAAAATGAAGCAGGGCACAAAATAGTGTTGGCAGGCCCCACTACCATGAGCCATCTCATCAATAAAAAGGCACCTACAATATGTCAACCTTTTCCCTGCTCAACACATGCCACAACTTACCTCATCTTATGAAATCATTTTTGGTGAATACTTCTCAACTGTCACTAAGCACTGGCAATGACGTGGGAAATCACAGCACATCGTGATATCTGCATGAGAGCTAATCCATGTGATCTTGATCTTCCATTGGCAAATTGAGGGTTTTTTCTAATCAAGTGGGGTGTGTATATGTATATGTAAGCGTGCACGCACGTGCCCCCCCCATATATATATGAATGAAATAAACAAATAAATCCAAAGGGTGGCCAGGAGAGCTTTCTGTGTTGTGGCCCCCAGGAGGGTCATTTGGTCCCTTCTCTTTTGTCGTCTTATTGACGCCACTTAGTTTGGGCATATTGTTGGTACACCGAGTATATTATTGTCCTCTCTCTATTTGCCAGATATTTTTATTTCACTGTTCTTGCTGCTACTCCTCAGTACATTTTTTTTATCTGTGTTGTTCTTTTAATGTTGCCTCTTAAATGAGACAAGAATGTTAATGGAGAGCAAGGGGAAAACCAGTGTTGTGTCTATATGCAATAGAAGCTCAGTCAAACAATTAAGCTCACTAAGCTGCCTTTAGTCTCGTCCACACTTTCAATTCTTCTTCTTCTTCTTCTTCTTCTTCTTCTTCTTCTTCTTCTTCTTCTTCTTCTTCTTCTTCTTCCTGCTCCACACTGTTCCATACAAATTCTCCTATTGCCTCACCCCACTGAACACTGTAAGCTATCTACCCAGTGTTATGTGCCAATTCTGCCCTACTACACTGAGAAGACAGTCGCGCCATGCCTACAGCTGCATTATGGAGAATGAGTCAATTTAACCCATTTCTTACTTTCCTTAACAAAACCCAACAAAGGGCTGCCACTTTCGGCAGCAGCTGCGTATTTCTTATATGGGTCTTCTCTTACAGTCATCACTAGCTGTTACTGAAGGCACTGTATGCAATCAAATTGAATCCAATCCAAAATAAAGCACTTCTTGAAAGACAAAATTGGGAATGGCGGGAATTTCTCTTTCAATACAGATTTCTGGTGATTTCAGTGAGTATGTAGTGTGAATGTGTGGGAGAGGTTACAGGTTTACATTTTAAGATGAAAAGTGAGGCCGGAAGGCTGGTGCCACAGCAATTTAGGCTGCTAAACACGCCCCCTCGCAGGCACCTGGTTGGGTTCCTGCCCGTGGGCGTGGGCGCCAGCCAGGTGAGTGGGTGGCAGGGGGCTAACACCCCCTGCTTGAGGCGGAGTCCGGCTCCCGACCACAACCACTCCCCTCTCTTGCAGGAGGAGAGTCTTTCAGATGTATGCTGCCCTGGAACCTGCAGGGTCCATTGAAATATCACAGCTAATAGCAGCTGCAGTCTTATTTTCCCTGAATTTGTCAAATTCCTCTTTACAGCCCTGTAAGTCTGCATTAGGAATGGGCAAGCTGTTTATCTAGGCTTCTCTCAGTTTCTCATTCCCCCACCCCCAATAATAAGTCCTGTTCATCCATTTCTGCATTAATTTGCATTTTTTAATTTTTATTTTAAAAGTATGCACAGAATTATTATGCATTTTCATGCACTTTTATTCTAATATGAACATTTTTGTATGTATGTTTCCGAGAACAGGTATTTTCCTAACAGGCTGTGTTTCTGTACATTATTTCTATAAATATATGTGTTTGTACACTTTGCCCTGGTGTATACTATTTGCATGAGTCGTTGTTGTTGTTATATATTCATTTATACTCTGCCTTTTTTCTTTGACAGGAATCAATGCTGCTTACAGATAAAAGCAAGAACCCATAAAAACAGAAAAATAAACCATTAAAATACAATTAAATATCAATAGAATTAAAACTACATACATATAATATATGCTTACAAACAAACAAATAATTACAATAGTGCCCTGCAAACTCCCATCCTATATAGAATACAATAATTTAAAAATAAAAAGTTGCCATACACAGACTGAGGGCTCCTGCCTTCACTCCATTGAGAGCCAGTGTGATGTAGTAGTTAAGAGCAGTAGTCTCATAATCTGGTGAACCTGGTTCACTTTCCCGCTCCTCCACATGCATCTGCTGGGTGACCTTGGGCTAGTCACACTTCTCTGAAGTCTCTCAGCTTCATTCACCTCACAGAGTGTTTGTTGTGGGGTAGGAAGGGAAAGGAGAATGTTAGATGCTTTGAGACTCCCTAGGTGGGATATCAAATCCAAACTCTTCTTCTTCTTCCATCCCCAGATGTTTGATGCAAGACTGCAACACAAAATTTGGTGAAGTGTAAATTTTGAAGGATAGTTGCAGTTTGGTTTGTGTATTGATTTAGGAAGTTCAAATTAGGTGTAAACCACATCAAACCCACTCTCCATCCTTGATACCTTCATCCTAGCATGTAAATACCAGATCCCTGTGCCAATAACATCGGGACATGTTCATTTTAAAGCTAAAGCTAGGTGATTTTTCAGCAGTGATTTTAACATCAGGATCAAGGATTTATTCAATAAAAGCAACAGATGCAGTGTTTTCAATTTCAAATTCCATGTGCCCTCTAGGTCAATACAGGAACTTGACATGAGTGGATTTGGTACCCTGGTCAAGATCTTAGCCCTTTGCAGAATTAGAACCAGTAGTATGACTTGCTGTGGTGATGTGTCTTTCTTGATAGCCCCTTGGCTGTGATCTTGTCGGGGCTTGCAAGGTTAGGAAATGAATGCAAGCTGTGCTGTGTTGGAATACCTCCAAGGAGCATTAGCTGATGTTGAAAGTATTGATGGCAAGTCGAAACGCAGAACTGTTACTGTGCAAAATGGAAACAGAACCAACTCCCAAGCAGGTGCTCAGAATTACAGTATAGGGAAATTCCCTCGCCTATATTGCTATCTTTAAGATTGCATGAAATGCAGGCTACCCCTGC